GACAAAGCAGAACGACGTCCAGTCTAACAAGTTGCCTTCTCCTTCACAAGGCAGCAAGGCAAAACCTTCTCGGCTTCGCCCTGTGTACAGTACCGCGTAGGCTCGTACGGGGTACATCTAGCATGACGTCATGTTACTCATGTACCTAGTACCTGGTGGCATGTGCCAAAGACGCCCAGCGACTTACTGCTGCTGCTGCATGATGAGATCACATTACACTCAAGGTCTGTCTGTCGGTTCATTACTAATACGCTTAGCTTCGGCTATTGATCCGCTTTTGAAAGATCTTATCTATCGACTTGCATACAGAATTTGGCTGCTTCTAACGCTGGAGCCTTCTGCAACGACTACCGCCTCAGAAGTCGCAATGTCTTAGTTCGACATACATTGTGCTGCAGCTCCCTTAGTCATGCCAACATGTGTGTCATGAAGCGGGACGGTCCAGCAAAGAATCCGACCTTAGTTACCACGGCTACGCGCAAGTTCCATTACAAGAGACGAGGAGTGGCTAAGGTCGGAGTAAAAAAGGTAGGAGTACGATCACGGCGTGTTATGATGTAGTGCAGCACGTCAAATAGGATGCATGAGTGCATGTGTTCGTACACATAATTATCTTACCTTGACCTTGACAACAATACAGCAGCCCAGTAGAGTCAATACAGTGCTGAAAAGTCCTAAAAGCAGCATGTACTGTCCTGATGTACTGGCCTTGTTGTAGAAAGAACAGTTGCACTCGCGGATATTCAAAAGCACCCGGGCAGCATTGATGGTCAGTTTGATTTGGAGTAGTCCATGTGGAGAGCACAGTTTGTCGCTTCCACTAGGTTCATGCACGCTGCCCAGACACCGTTCAAGACAGCATATGCAGCCATGAAGTCCATTAAATGTAGCAACCACCTTCACTATTCAGTCCAAGGTTTGGGCCAGCATGGTTCGGTATTAGTAACTCTGCGAAGGAATGACCAGGAGACAAAACTAACTACATTCAGGATAATACAGAGTCATGCACCAGGAGAGAATGCTTGTAGGACAAGGGGAAAGAGGAATGAAGAGAGAGAGAGAGAGAGAGAGAGAGAGAGAGAGAGAGAGAGAGAGAGAGAGTGGAAACGGCAGGCTGACGCTCTTTTTAATTGTAGTGCTACATCGTCTACGTGTAGCATGATATACTGTACGTGGTCAGTTCACGGCGTAGATCTACTGTTCTTCAATAATTCCCCAACAGCAGGGTGCGAAGCGGCTGGGGTGAAGACGAATCCGTTCGTCGCAAGCTAGCTGCAAGGCAGTCTGAGAAATCCTTACATCCAATACCGGCTTCCTTGCACACCGTGTGTGCCAGTGTGGACCAAGCCCTTGACTGTAAGGAATATGACAGGTCAAGCTTTTCTGTCAACACTCACATGTAATCCCAACACCTGGCCATAACTGGGGCTGCTTCCTAGTCTGACAGGCAACCAGTATTCTTGGATAACACCGTATTTGACGGGATTCATGATCAAGGCAGCTTTCAGCAACTACTTTGGAAAGAAAACATTGCATGGCGCTACATAATCCGCAGTGGCCTACCGCGGGGCAATGTTTTGTTTATCCGTTGCTATGGCGCCATTCTAGATGTCCACCGTATGCGAAGCCTGTGTGAATGGGCTGTAGTAATGCGGTTTCACACCCACTGACCCAGTATGAAAACGCCGTGCGTGGTTGTGGTAGATGGAGACTTGCCACCAAGGAATCGTGCAAACTCGTGGCTTGCACCACTCCCCGATTGCCACCTCCGTGCTAGCCAGTAGCAGTACTAGTAGTACCTGAAAGAATACAGTGCTCAAGTCCTGCTCCGATCACCGCTGTACGATGCTTACCTCCGTGTTATCCCAATCCGAGCCGAGGTCTGCTACGGACCCCTATACTGTAACACAGTAACACAGTGGCAACAGTACGCGATGTACACTAGCATGGGCACGCAGCCTGTGTGCAATGAATACCACTTCGTGTACTTGCAAGTATATGACTGACTATCAGAGCAAGGTGAGTAAAGGCTCGCAATTCCAATAGTGGCAATACCGCTCTTGCATGGTCGCAAGTATGCTCTGTATTGTATTCGAAACAAACGTATGACTCTGAACGACGTTGCTCCCCTCCTCTCCATTACACTGCCACTGCAAGCAGTGCATACACTTTGTCACGGGAAGGGCAACATCAGAGGGCACCCCACTCACAATTTCAGCATACTACACGTGCGATGTAGGGTGACTCGTTGCTCCCATGCCGCTGATTGTGCCATATTTCTGCTGGGGGGGGGGGGGCTTCACTCCCCTCTCTGGTACTAAATCCTGCGTTTGTTCCTGGACGGAAGGGAGGGCATATGCAATCGGATACACATTGCATGGTGGGTTGATGCACTGGATGGTAGGTAGTACAGCTGTAGCAGTGTTGTGTTCGTCGATCAACATGCACAATGCCCATCTAATCGCCGTTGGCATGGATCTGGATTTGAAGGCATTCGGATCCTGACATCCGTGCAGAAACGTGCTAGTTGCAACAGACGATTAGCTAGGAAGACTGTACTTGAAACAAGGCAAGGCACGGTGGCCATGAGTAATCAAGTTACCACCGTCTCATCCTCGTCGGGTAATCGAACAGGCAATACGGTCGTGTCTCATGGAGGGGTAACCGCTACCTCCACCACCCACGTCGCTTGGGTTCCTTGCTGCTGTCCACCATCAACACTCTACATGGTGTGGGGCATACATGCACATGCGCCGACAGCCGTGTCCAGTGCAGCCTTCCTTGTTCGGGGAAAGACTTTGGACGGTGTCAGGTACGGCTTCAGCTCGACTGTCATGCACAACTGTCAATGTCCGATATTATTGTCCCCATGTAAACCTTATTTGGAGCGTTATGTGTGAGTGTTTAACTGGTGAACAGGCATTATGCCAATCCTGATCTCATTTACCCTGTTTCTGAAGGCCGCACCTTTGTTTAGATGGGGCATTCCATTGAGACACGATCCGCGATATGATCCCACACACGCGCACACACACACACACACATTACTTAGAGGCGTCACGAAAATTGACTTCGACAATCCACTACAAGCGCGACGGTGCACGTACATTCTTCATCCAGTGCTCCCTTCATCTCATCTCACGTTTTAGGTTTCTATTCTAAATATGTTAAGGTCCAATGGGAGATAACTTAGGTTTGGTGCGAGTCACGTACACATAGTTGTGTCTCAAGTTATCTAGACTCCATCGGTAAACAATCCCTTACTGTCACCACCAACGTAGCAATGCTTGCCAGTGGGGGCTGACGCATCGCGCAGGATTTCCCCTAGATTCTGGCCTGGCCAGCGATCATCTGACGGTCGCCGTCATTCCCCACATTGCCCGGGCAACAGCTGGGGACCCTGCCACCGTCCGCCATGCACCTATCCATTCAGGGAACATTCCATTCGCTCATTTATGCTTGGAATTGTACATTCAAGTAACAGTTGCAGCCGCCGAGATACCGGTAGTTAGTCATTGTGGTCGGGTGGTCCGTCGCATGTACCTGCTGGCCACGCTGGAATACCTGTCTGAACTTGTTGCTGTGGAAGTCTGGTTTGTTATTGATCGCACGCACATCTGCTCAGACGGTTTGAGAGTACATGACTTCATGTACCGGTATACCTACATTGTAAATCATGGGGATACAATGTGGACAACCATCCGTTGGGTTGCTACATTAAATACTAGCTTGATATTGATAGCCTCCCTGGTCACAGACACAGGTGGGCCCTTCACGGATAGAGATCATCATTCTGATGTACTTGGACGTGCTTGTGGAGCCTTCACGGATAGGAAGTGCTTACATGGACAAGTATGGACGAGTATCTAGCTGGTAGTTGTGCTACAGTCAGTGGGCGACTAGTATGGAAAAAAAGTCACGTAATCGTATACATGTAGGCCCACAAGCAAACCGTCTGCCTGTCAGGGCAAAAGAATCGCCACATTTCGCATTGACGCCAGCGCCAGACCCTACTTATTAGTCACCACCTGTTGTGAGATGACGAGTGACATCTACAGAGGAGAGATTTGCTGGAGTGGAGATACTCGTGCCAGGAGCGAATCTAAACAACCTGAAACACCCATTTACCCATTTCTAGCCTTCATTGCGAGTGATCGGTTCGGCCAGTCAGTCTCAGACTCTGGATTCCGCCGTGATGAACCTTTACAAAGTCGAAACAGCTATGTAGATCTCTACATGTAGCTGTGTGGAGATTGTGCTGAGTAAAACACCCATTTGCATGGTTTGTGGAGGTATGCTCTGCTATGAATACGCGCCAGTCTACAATCATGTAGCTTAGAATCATTTAAATTGTTTTACTCTGAAAACTCTACTTTCATTAGTTTTCCGGCTCCCTGATACTGTCTTCTGACTGTCGATTACCTCCAGTACTGAGGTTCCACTGTCGACTGTCGTAGGCTAAAATCAGCCATGGTGCAGTGGGGACAATCTGGCTAACAACCGATCAAGTGCCCACTCACTCGCTCACTCACTTTCGTCGGTAATGCTGGGAAGCGCGGGATGTTACAAGTCAGGAAGACTACCGGTGACTTTCGACTAGGTACGAGTACAATGTATACCCTCCCATGTACACCCTCCCGAGGAGGAGAATGGGGGAGGGGGGGGGGAAGGGGGGGATTGGGAATTAAATAATCTGTATGCCGTACTTGTACATATCTAGGTCAATGAATGAATATTGAGCTTTAAAATAGTATTGCACCTTCAACCTGTTATTTGCTGTCTACCAGCCATGGGGAAGCTGCTGCATGCTACATCGGTTTAGCTCACCACAGAACAGCTCAGAGTAGCATAGCCAGTGCATCTCAGCTTTTCTGTCTACACTTCGAGCAGCAGAACTCCTGGGAGGACAGCTAGCACATGTCCAAGGCTTACAAGGTTTCCGATCAATGATCACAGCACTGTTGGTGACTCAGGTCTCAATTTAGCCTAGTCTATCAGTAGTATCAGTAGTCTTGTTAGTGTGACTGATGCTGGGAGCTGCGCAGTACGTACATTGATATTCTGCACCGTGGTTGTTGTTGTTACTTTATTTTACTTCACCAGAATTGCAGGCAGTAGAATGCCTTCTCACTAGACCAGGTCTAGTTCTCACAAATGATGAAGAATGTGAATGAACGTGCTGAAGCTAATGAAAAACAAGAAATAGAAAAAAGATGGGAAAAACTGTGGTCCGTGGGTTAAGTTTGTCACTCACACAGTTAATCTGCCGATGTGTGGGTGCCAAGACAAGCAAAAGTGGTTCCATGCACTCTTGCTACAATCCACCTCCCACGGAGCCGTTTTAACCTGTATCCTCCCGTTTTTCCCATAATGGGAACTATGGGAACAAGAATAAAGACCTCTTGGTTTTAGTGGCCCAATAAAATTACTATTTTGAAAGTATTTTCTCGAGTCAAACATCTTGCAAATAACCATAAGTACGGAGTTGAAACGAGCAAAGTCAGAATACAAATTGACCACCACCTCCATTCTTCTCTGGCAAATAGGGTGAAATAACCACTTTGCCTTCTCCTGGCTTCCATGTGCAAAATGAGGGAATGGATTACAGCTACCAGTGCTATAGATAGCATATTCTTCATTCTGAACTTTGAGCTAAAGCACATGTCACTGTTGACAATGTTCCAAACATAATTATTGTGACCTGGCATATTCGGGTGGGTGATGCAAGCACGGCAGGATTCTTCAGAGCAATGTTTGCAGGTACGTCACTAACGACGACAGCATTGCCGTAATGCGTTGGTACAGTGAATGGTGGAGGTGAGGGGAGGTTGCATTCACTGACGTTACTGCTGGGCTTGATTCCGCTGTAGGTAAGGGATGATAAATCACCGTGGGATTATGGGCTGTGGAAACAAAAGGCAACCACACACATACACACACAGTTACAAGTGCATACAAGTACATACACACATAAACATACATACTGCAGTACACACACACATACACACACACACACTTGATGTATCGAGACTTTACGCACATGCCCCCCCCCCCCCCCCCCCTCGTGGCCATGCAGTTGATATGTTGGTCTAGATGTAAAATAGTGAAGTAGGCTCTCATCTGATTGCGAACAAGGGGTGAATGACGTGTCACAAACAAGTCCCAGATCAAGTGAACCTTCCAGTCAAAGTATTTATGTAGTACACACACTTCCTATTTCAGTAATTTGCTCGAATTCAATGGAGACGGTAGGATGAACGGAGGATCGCAGCTTCCTTTGGCCAATGCCATTCGACTAAAAAGCGCCCAAATGACTACAAGTATTGACATTTTCATTTTCGGTGAAACGCCCCCTGTTTATAAAGGACGATAGTTGCAAAGTATGAAATATTGCGATTATTTTGATACAGCATCCATTCCCTTGTCACTGCTTGTGCTCATCTTCAAGCCACCCAGGCTGCACCACATGTACATGTAGTCTGTTGTTTGAATGCCAATCTGTGACTGAATGTGATGCCAATCTGTGACTGAATGTGATGCCAATCTGTGACTGAATGTGATGCCAATCTGTGACTGAATGTGATGCCAATCTGTGACTGAATGTGATGCCAATCTGTGACTGAATGTGATGCCAATCTGTGACTGAATGTGATGCCAATCTGTGACTGAATGTGATGCCAATCTGTGACTGAATGTGATGCCAATCTGTGACTGAATGTGATGCCAATCTGTGACTGAATGTGATGCCAATCTGTGACTGAATGTGATGCCAATCTGTGACTGAATGTGATGCCAATCTGTGACTGAATGTGATGCCAATCTGTGACTGAATGTAATGCCAATCTGTGACTGAATGTGATGCCAATCTGTGACTGAATGTGATGCCAATCTGTGACTGAATGTGATGCCAATCTGTGACTGAATGTGATGCCAATCTGTGACTGAATGTGATGCCAATCTGTGACTGAATGTGATGCCAATCTGTGACTGAATGTGATGCCAATCTGTGACTGAATGTGATGCCAATCTGTGACTGAATGTGATGCCAATCTGTGACTGAATGTGACACCGTGCAGCCCTGTCTACACTACTCCCTTAGCTTCACAAGACCCATTACTCACGTGCACACTGGTCCCATTCCTTGGCTGCTCGTCCTGGCTTCGTCTTCAGGCTGGGCAAGCTATCGTAGGCGTATCCAAAGTCCTCACTGAGCTTCATCATGTCCTTGTTGCGTTGCAGTGGAAAGAAAGGGATCATGCAGTCGTTGCTGTTGTGCCCAGGACTTGCTCCGTGCTCGGGACGGAAGTGCAAGTTGCCCAGCTCTCTCAGGCGTACCATGAGACGTTCAAACACACGATCCGTCATCGCGTGATGAAGGAAGAAAATCGGATCGGACGGAGAAATCAAATCATTCGCCATGCTGCCTCCGACATACACATGAACCAGGCTGTGCATTTCCGGCAGCAAACCGGCTCTCGGCGTTTTCGTTGCACAGTAGCTCTTGCCAGGAAACGGCACTGTTCCCTCGATGGCTGCACGGAGACTTGAAGGGTCACGCACGCGGAGATTGAAGGGAGCTATGTCATACACCGTTATTCTTGACAGTATGTCCCACAGGTCTCGCTCACTTGGTAGCCATTGGCACCTTCTTGCGTTTGGGCCGTAGTTCCTAAAAACTCTTGCAGCCTCATTGTAGAAGTGAGCTTCTGGGCAGAGGCTACCTGGTCCACGTCTAGGAAGGCGTAGCAGTACATTGGGCTCTGTTGTAGGCTCAGCATATACGCTATTGAAGCATGTGATTCTGAAGGAATCAAACGCACCTCCAATATCAGTCCTGTTCCCATCAAAGATATCGAATTCGTCAAACAAACAGTCCCGGCTCTGATGATCCAACCAATCCCAATACGGCACGGTGAATGAACTGTTGCCAGATAAACGTTGTAGCTCACTCTCCAACAACAACTGGTAATAACGATGCCACGTGAGGAGTGCGGGGCCAAAATGTGCAAAATCCACACTGACGTTATACAGTGAAGAATTCTCCGTTGCCGTTGGCGCCCCGGTGTCTTTGGCTGCATAGTAGTGTAACCAGATCATGAACTCATACACTGAAAGATCCCTCTTGAAATCGGCTTGGCTCAAGTTTGAAGTTGTGCGCGAAGATTTGCTAAAATTCTCCTCCGAGATCAATACACCGAACCGACTTGGACTGCTCAGCCGACTGGATGAGCCTGCAAGAACTTGCTTGAAATAGTTTCGCTCATCTCCATTCAGTGTCAAGTAGTTTCTGCGTACCAGCGGCGTTTTGCGTTTCACACAAACACTCTCATCAGCAGTTTTCACGTAACCGAACTTACACTCGGTGCAGTCATATCCAGCCCAGTTCCCCTCACACTCACAGATTTGTGTGAACACTCGGTTAGGCCATGGGTAGCGCGATGGCTCCGACACAGGATTCTTCAGATAGGCAAGAACATCCGCTGGTTCATCCGACGTTTCTACATGACAGTGAGAATCAGTGATGCGTACACATGCTCCTCGGCCGGGTCCGCCGCACTCCATATTGGATCCACCGACTGGAACAGATGGACAACATTTCTGGTTCCGCAAATCATCGTTGTTGATGCAAGCGAGCGGAAACTGTCCGAAAGCGCCACTCTGAAGGCACAGTGCGACCAGCCAAGGCAGATAATGCAATAATAATCGACACCTGGGAACGTTTTCAGAGGCTGGCAATGGTACTATTTCCACAGGAGACTGCATGGCGAGGTGATCTGTCACTGACAGACAATAATACTAATAATAGGAGGCGTGAGCATCGAGTGTAGTCCGACCGATGACTCAATCATTTCATCGATTTACGACCATCATCACTACACGAGTGAGCCTGAGCGGTTTGAGATCAGCTGGAAAGCCGTAACCACCTAGTAGATCTACTGACTAGTATTGTTGCGAGTTGTTTTGTTGACAAGAACAAGAAGGATACTGCCATTACTGGTAGAGCGAGCAGCAGCTACAAAAAAAAGTGCCACGAATCAACGAGGTGTGGATCATAAGGAGCTACCTAGCGGTCCTGGC